CCCGGCTATGTGTTAGGTTTTTAAAAAGATGTAGCCAAGTAAGAATAGCACCACGCATGTGGTAGTCAGGTAAGGGGTAGGTTTATTCATCGTTCTGGCTGGCACCAGGCCTTGTTGGCCCTCCATGCAGCTGGGAAAGACCTGGGAAAGAGAGAGAGCTGGGAAAGAGCATCTGGGCCTGGGCTAGGCCTTATCTAGGGTATGGGCAGAGAAAGGTGTGGCCACATCAAATGCAGATGTGACTTCAGCGGATGCAGAAGTGACCTCTTCCAGGTATGCCAGTTGCCTAGGTAACGCAGGTACTGGGTGGAAACTTTGCTGCGAGGAGGGTGGAGTCTGCTAGCCATCCCGGAGCTGACCTTAACTCTATGTAGATAAACAAAAATTTAAACATCCTTTTGTTTTGTGAAAGATAACACTCCTGGTAGTCTAGTTTCTAGACCAGTGGTTCCCATTCTGATAGTATAGTATTTTCTACCTTTTGTTTATGTGGTCATGGGGCTTGAACTCTGGGCCTGGGCACTGTTCCTAAGCTCTTCAGCTCAAGGCTAGCTCTACCACTTGAGCCACAGTGCCACTTGCCGTTTTCTGAGTGGTTTTTTGGAAATAAGAGTCTTACGGAGTTTCCTGCCTGGGCTTGCTTTGAACCGAGATCCTCAGACCTCAGCCTCCTGAATAGTTAGGATTACAGGCATGGACCACTGGCACCTGGCTCTATTTTCTATGCCTTAAGGGTAGTCATTTTATATAAGCATTATGAAATGACAGTGAAAGTAGATAATGTTGATTTTTGTGTCCTTTAATTTTAATTGTGTATTGTTTTCTTTGGTCGGTCATGGGGCCTGAACTCTGGGCCTGGGCTCTGTCCCTCGGCTCATGGCTAGCACTCTACCACTTGAGTCACATTTCCACTTCCGGCTTTTTCGGATTATGTGGTTTTGCGGAATTGAACCCAGGGCCTCATGCATACAAGGCAAGCACTCTACCACTGAGCTACCTTCCCAGCCTCTGTCCTTTAATTTTAAAAGGGCAATACTATGTCAGTTTTCAGGATCATTTTATTAACTTTTCTCAATAGTAGCTAGGGACATTTCTACCTATTCCTGGACAGCCTGGAATGCAGGAGATAAGAACTAGCCATTCTAGCCAAATCATCCAATTTTTAATTTTCTGCTCCAAACCCTTCCTCTAGCCATTTGTTTGCTCTCTAGTTTTTGTTAATGTTGTTGTTTTGCCCAGTCCCTCCCTGCCTTATGAAACTTCTTCTAGACTTCACTCAAGGACTAACACCAAGGGACAGCTGTTGCCTTCTCCCAGAGGGGACCACATCTCAGTCGTTTACCTCTAATGTCCATGCCCCTTGCCAGCAGCAAGTAACCAGAGAGAATCTTCACCCTTTTTCATAATTATCAAAAAGCTGGAATGTAAGGTCTGCCCCAGGCCATATAGGCACTGTGCGGACACCTCCCTACCTCTTGGCTAAGTTTCCACCCAGTACTCTGTTACCTAGGTAACTGGTACACCTGAAAGCAGACATCTCCCTTTCCTGCATCACGGGCCACTTCTGGCCACATGCCTAATTAATTACAACAGAAGCTGATAGTGGAGCTGTGGCTACCTAATGAAACCTACCTATTTAATATACCTTACAGTAACATCCTTAAGTATGATAGCCTGAATTCCAAGGAAAGAAATGGAGATGGAAGAGGCTAGTCATCTGGTAAAAGTTCTAGTTATTGTTGATAATAATATAGGTTACAGTTGGAGGCCTAGAGAGAAGATGTTGGATTAAGGAAACATTTCTAAAGTAGAATTAAGAGAATATAAATGTTCATTGAACTAGAAAGGGGAGGAATTGAGGATGTTACTGGTTTCTGGCTCATTTCTTAAGTGGAGAGTGATACCACTCCCTGAGATAGGGAATGAAAGAGGGTAAGAAGAGTTTTTAAAGGAGGTGGAATGAAAGATAAGCTGTGGGTATTCTAAGGTTGACATGCCTGCAGGGCATCTGTACAAAGATTATTAGTAAGTTAGAAATATGGCTCTAGAGATATAGATATGAGTGTCTTTGGGGCCTAAGCCTGGCAGAAGTGATGTATTTCAAGAAAAGAACCAGAAACAAAACAACTCAAAATAATACTTAAGTTTTGGGGGACTTTTTTGTATATGTGGAAGGTGGGAAATACTCTTGAAATTTCCAAAGAATAAGAGACAAGGACAAAATGCTTTAGAGAATAAATACATGAAAATAAGAAAGTGTTTATGAAATAATTTATTTGGCTATATTAACTGCTATTGGAAAGATAGAGTAGTACAAAGTTTCAAAAGATATTGTTGGGGGGCTGGGAAGATGGCTCAGTGATAGAGTGCTTGCCTTGCATGCATGAGGCCCTGGGTTCCGTTCTGCAGCACACATAAGCAGAAAAACCTGGAAGTGGCACTGTGGCTCAAGTGGTAGAATGCTAACCTTGAGCTGAAGAGCTGAGGGACAGCACCCAGGCCCAGAGACCCAGAGATCAGACTCCATGACTGACAAAAAAAAGATACTGTTGGGGCTGGGAAGGGGGCTCAGTGGTAGAATGTTTGCCTTGCATTTATGAGGCCCTGGGTTGGATTCCTCATCACCACATAAGCAGAAAAAGCCTGAAGTGGAACTGGCTCAAGTGGTAAAGTGTTAGCCATGTGCTGAAGAGCTGAGGGAGAGCTCCCCGGGCCCAGAGTTTAGGCCCCATGACTGACCAAAAAAAAAAAAAAGAAGAAGAAGAAAAGATACTGTTGATTTTACCTATTAGAAATTACCTGGTGAGTTTATCAGGGCAATTTTGTTAGAAGACATTTAAAAAAAAAAAAAAGGATACCTACAAGAGCCTAGAAGAGATTGGGATACACTATCTTGATCTAGGATCAAATGATCGTCTCAAAAGCATTTCATCAGTGTCTTGCAATATTTTCCTTTTGGGGGAACTTTATTAAAATTCAGTGTG